CTCTTTCCCCTAAAGTTAAGGAAGTTCATTTAATTCTTTAAAATCAAACCTAACCTTTATCATTGGAAAAATTACCTGAAATTTTTCCGAGTCTCTTTACCTGGTTAAAAATAAATCTGCTGAACAACTTTATACTTTGATTAGTACTAACTTGATTTGATGTAATCCTCTTGTTTTGTTTGTTCATTTTATCTTAACTGTGTTGTTTTATATTACTCTGAATATATACAACTCAACCTGTAAAATCTGATACTCTGTACTAACATTTTTTGCCATGTTTTTTTTTTTTTTTTTGTAAATTGTTATTCTCAATTTAAAAAAAATGTGTAAMACATTATGGAAGAACTACTGCCATCTACTGGACGAATCAGGGAAGTGTTTATGTTTTTCAAGCTGTTTCCGTTGGAAAGTTAATCATTGTAAACAGAATTAAGCTCTTGTGTGTTTTTCTTATTGTCAAGTTGTTGTTTTTTTTCTTTTCAAAGTATTTTTAGTTTTCGTCAATTTGTGAAGCGTTATCTTTTTACACCATTTGAAGTTTACAAAGTGGGGAATAGGYCACTAGGCCTTATCTATATTTCACTGTTAAGACTGACCACTTTTATTTTTATTTTTTTAGGACCAGMGAGTTTCTGTGCAAGTTTTACCAAAAATGSAGGACGAGTTTTAAACTTGAAATCCCAGAAGCCCACTAATAAAATATGRCACTTACCCATACGTGCATCCTCCGCAAACATAATACCTGCACAGGTGTAAGCCATGACACCCCGAGCACTCTCCGGGCTTTCTCTGACAAAGCCTCAGGGTAGTTTTAGCCACAACCAGGCTGTCTGGCCTGAGCTCGTCTCCGCCAGGCAGGACCTGCTGTTTGCCCTCTCGAATCGCTATTTTACCGTCGTCGAAGAGAACGGACCGCAACTCTTCTGCCTTGAAGCCGAAATTGTTTTGCGCGAGCTCGTTCAGCTGCTCGAAGTCCAGACAGCCGTGGTTTTCGCACAAAATCTCGGTGATTAATTTAGAAACGCTCGACTCCATCCTGAAAACGACGATTCTGGGCCTGAGGGAACAGCTGGCTTGAGAACACGCCTCTTTATTTTTTTTCTTTTATGAAGTAACGAAACCGAAACTTAACAAAACAAAACATAACCACATATTTACGACCATTTTACGACATTTCAACAAAACAAAACGCAAACACATATTTACGACCATTTTACGACATTTCGGTGTGCAATTTTCGGGGAGTAGATACTGTATTTTGACTGTATTTATTGCCACATAAAACACAAACAGAGCCATGTAAAAATACAGCACAGCTATTGTAAGAAACTTTCACAGGTATATATGTTTTAAATATAATAATTCTTATCTTATTTTATTTCAAAATTTGACAAGCAGGGTTTTTTTCCGTAAGTACGCGAAGGTAACACGGATCCATAGCAACCAAAGTTCCAGTGCATCATAGCAACCATGGAGCGCGAGCTTTCAGCGATGACAGAAAAAGACAAGGAAGTAACTGAACAGAAAGAGCTTTATTACAACCAGGTTAAAGGACCAAGGTGAATATACTRTATATTTTTAAGAACTTTGTAAACATGAATCAACTATTTTGTTTTAGTTTAAAGTATTTGCTTGTTTTGTGCAGTGTTTTTGTGCTAATGCTAACACARCATGCTAAATATTAAAGGTACTTATTGCAAAACATGATCAGATATAAAAAGGGTGTCCTGAACTATGGCAAGTGGTTTACTCTAAAAGTGTTTACTTCAGTAGTTTTGCAGATATACAGTATTAAATACAATTCTGAAATGTGGGTCCACACCCCGTGTAAACAAAGCATTCTCCTAGTCTGTAGGTAAACAAATTATGGCTGGTAAATCTAGTGTTTCCAAATGTAAACAATATTCTCTTCAATCATTGTCCATATCAACCAGAAAAGGGTGTGAAGYCACTGTAAAATGCCTAATYAAGTTTGTTGTTGTGTTCATATACTGTATGCTGCTGTCTGTTTATTATTGTCATGCTCTTGATATTATCCAAGGTATTCTAATGCAGCCCTGCTGGCAGAGAATGACACATTTGAATGCTTCATTGGCCGTTTGGATCCTCAGGACCTGGAGCTTCAGGGTGAGGGAGCTGGTCCAGACGCAGCAGGAGACTCAAAGGTGGGGAGAGGAGGGTACTACAGTTAGAACTAACTAGTAATAATAATAATA